TTGACAATATGCTTTTTTTGACAGCACAGCAATGCACGGTATTGCAGTACCACGTGTTGCGCTGTGCCATATACACACTTGCCTGCTGGGAGGTGCCTTGGGGTGCCATTTAAATGAATGATAATACAACGCAGCATTACACCTATCGCACGGTGCATTGCGCTGTGTGATGGCTTGTGCTAAATGCATGGGCACCGTGCCTAAAGTGCAACGTTATGGTGTAAAAGGCCCCTAATATTCGGTTGTCTCGACCCCAAGGAATATATCTTATTACTTGATATTATTATATTATGTATCACTTTGATAATATGTGATCCCTGTCACACAATGTCACCTCCTCCATATGTAGCCTATAGGTTGCAGGGCCTAAGATGATGGTATATACACCGTCATTGTCATTCCTCCTGTTGTGGTGTACTATTTATAGAACAGAGCGTGCCGGTGAATATCTGCAGAGTTGGGTATTGCGGTGCTGATATAAGTGAATCTGCACCTAAGTGTCACCGTAAACATCTTCACCGGGAGCCATGAACATGCCGAAGCTTTGAAGTCAGCCGGGTGACTGGTTCCATGTTGGCAGAATTTAGTTTTTAAAGTGAAACTTTATGACAGTTTTCCAGGCCGAGCCGCACAGACAACTTCCACACAGCAATCGTCTCTGAACAAATATATTGAACTTTACATCCATCATTCACTAAGAAGCAGCTACCCGAAATCTGTGTGTGTGAGATGGGGGGTGGGGGGCGCCGCCTTCAGCTGTGCAGATGCTTCAAGGCCAGAATGAATAATTGAGGACGCAGAGTACGATGTGGAAGCATGAAATCAAAGCAGAGGCATTATAAACCTCACATGACGAGTTAACCAGAGAGGTGACGAAGCACATTCAGGGGCAGGGCCGAATAATTCATATAGATAGATAGATAGATAGATAGATAGATAGATAGATAGTCAATGGAAAGATAGATAGATTGATAGATAGATAGATTGATAGATAGATAGATAATCAATGGATAGATAGATAATCGATGGATAGATAGATAGATAGATTGATAGAGAATAAATAGATAGATAATTCATCAATAGATAGATAGATAATAAATCAATGGAAAGATAGATAGATAGATAAACAGATAGATAGATAATAAACAGATAGATGGATAGAAAATAAATAGATAGCTAGATAGATAATAAATCAATGGAAAGATAGATAGATAGATAGATAGATAGATAGATAGATAGATAGATAGATCGGAGAGGATATATATGTGTGATTCCATTCTATGTTCCGTATCATAAATACGATTTGACTTCCATTCAGTGACATTCGGAGTCCTGGGACCGATGTGTTGGGGGCGGCATGGGTTTGGTAATTAACCCCTTCACTGCACTCCTCCTTCCTCCTGTGTTTTCTCCTCCTCTTGGGGGCGGCGGAAGGGGTTAACGCCGTCACCAGCCCCTTCCACTAAATATAGTTATTGATTGTCGGCGGATGAGTCAGACCCCCGCGCTGCGGAGAGAAGGGATTTATCAAATGCTTTACAAGGGATTAAAAAGAGAGAACAAAGACATGGGAGTACCATATGGCGGGAACCCCGGCTCAGGCCACAGCTGGATCATAAAATAAATGGGTCCGCCACCTGTACAGTCCCTACAGGGACCCACTTTGCCGGTGGAGAGCGTGTGGACGAGGGGGCTGGGCTGGGGGGGGATTATTTTAATATTTATATGTGGGATAGAAATAGTACACGATGGAGGCGCGGTAATAGAAAGCGACAGACATAGATACAGATGGGATGTGGGGGAGGCGGAAGTCTATTTTCAGGAAAATAAATAAATAAATTCTGCCTTATAAACGCGGCTGGTGGTGGAATCTGCCTCCTCGCTTTCTCTGCAAGGAATACGCTGGTGCCAAGAAATGTGTTCTCTATATTTATCATTTGTGACCAATTTGGGATCATTCAGAATGACCCGACGAGTGTCTGGCCCACTGACAACCGCACAGAGGCTGTGAAGCTCAGAATTTGGTCAATCAGTGGTCCAAAGCCACAGGTCCCAGCATGCACTGCTGCTGCATGTTCACAACTTCAGGTCCTGACCCATATGTTAGGAAACTCGGCCTTATTAGTAGACATGTGCGATTCGTTTCGTTCCGAATCGAAATTCTGACGAAATTTCTGAAATTCGTAGATTCGGAGCATCATCCACCTCAAGTAGAATTTTCGGGAATTCGTCCGAATTCCGAATCCGAATTCCGCATCCGAATTCCAAATACGAATCCGATTCCCGAAACGAAACACATACAGGATCCGAATTCCAAAAACAAAATAAATGAAATCCGAAACTAAAAGAAACAAATTATTAGCTGCTGCACATGTCTACTTATTAGCCATGAGTTGTTTTATGCGCCCATTACCCGCAGCAGACATGATCCAGGATCATGGACCATGGAAGTCTATTTCCAGAAAAATAAAAATAAATCTGCCTTATAGAGGAGCCCGGTGGTAGAATTTTAGCTACAGGTGGTGGCGGTAAAATCCGTCATTTCGCTTTTTCTGCAAATACTTCTGCCCAAAAAATTGTTCTCTATATTTACATTATTATCTATTTTGGGGCCCTTTAGATTGACCCGGCATTTGTACTGTACACTGACAACCACATAGTGCCGGAAACTTGGAATTTGGTTAAAACAGTGGTAGGGAGCTACAGGTCCCAGCATGCACATTGACAAATTCAGGTCCCGACCCATAGTTTAGGAAATACTGCCTTAATAGACATGAGTTGTTATATTCGCCCATTATCCTCGGCAGACATGGTCCAGGATCACGGATGAGATATGTCATCAGCACATCTGTCTACAGTACTTGACGGCAGTGGTGTAACAACAGCTATAGCAGCCAATGCTGCTGCTATGGCACCTCGAGGTCGAAGGGGGCCCCATTAAGGATTGCAGAAGTTGCTGTTGACACTGATCCTGTACCCCCCGCCCCCCACCCCCCACCCCGTGGTGACATTTCCAATCAAGAAGAGCAGACATCAGATGTAAAGAAGGAGACAATGAATACAGCTCTCTTGCTACCTGATTTTAATATCAATGACATTAGAGAGGTCACCGAGGGGCCCCATCAAAGTTTTGCTATGGGGCCCCTTGATCTACAGTTACACCCCTGCTTGATGGGTGTCAGACAGGAGGTGATGGCAAATCTTTACAGCAGTGATACATACAGCTATAAAAACACATTTTTTTGTGTGTCCCTCTTGGGGGGATTTTGCACAACTTCCTTGAACAAGAATAAAATCTTCTTACCTGGGACACTGGCAGCATTTAAAGAGACCCAGGTCTCCAAAAATATAAATCGGCACTCCCCTGCCAAAGAGCAGGCCGGGAGTGTTGATATCACTATCGCACTGATCTGGTAAAGGATCAGCATGATGGTATTTTGAGGAGGGGGTTGGGCATGATTGCAGTCATGAGTTTCCTGTTAGAATTGTATACCGATGTCACAGATAATTATATAACAAGTACATTCTTCTCTCCCCTTCAGGTTTATTAGAAAGCAGCACCAGGCTGAAGCCGCATGAAGCCCAGAGTTACAGGAAGAAGGCATTATGGGTATCCTGGTTGTCCATCATCATCACGCTGGTCCTGGCTGTAGCGGCTTTCAGTGAGTATAACAAACCTGTACCATATGGACCTTAAGGGCCCATTCACACCAGATCCAGATCATCTCCAGACCAGACCAGATTGTTTCTGGACCTAAAATGCATCCTAATGTATCCCTATGGCATTTCTGGCCTCTGTTCACACCAGTGCAGTCCGGACCAGACCAATGCACTGGAACGCATAAAAAATGCATTGGAACGCATTGGAAACGCACCTGTAAGACCATTTTAAGCACACACAAAAATTGAAATGTCCAAACGCTGCAAAATTGCGGTAAAATTACGGCAAAAACGCAATGCACTGTGTTCCAGATCTGGTCCAGAAAATGGTGTGAACCTGCCCTTAGGGCTTGTTTCCACCATCACCAGACCAGAAGCAGATCATCACGTTTTTAAACGCACCAGAAATGCATTCCCGTGTATTCCTATGGTATTTTAGGGCTGTAGTTCCCGCCAGTGTAGTCAGTTCCAGTGCTTTAAAAAAAAGTACCGCAAGCACGATTTTTTCTGGTCTGGAACGTACCGGAACGCGTCAAAACGCTTATAAACACGCATACTACTACTGGTCACCTTTGATAACCTAATCAACATTGTACACTTCCTTTATGGAAAAGGACGCTTTGCGTCTCTTTCCCTGCTGCTTGATGTGATGCAATCTCCATTTCTCAACACTACATATCCCATCATGCATTGCTTCCAGCAAGCAGGGATGATGTTACATTGTTCAGTCATTGAGTTGTAGTTCAGACGGCAGCCTCTGTGCATTGAGGAAATCGGCATCTTCAATTTTCTAGATGGATCTGGGTATTAGGAGTGGGAGAGAACATATGGAAATTCAATATTGAAATACGGCTTTATTTTTAGTTTTTGACCAAAGATACCCTTTAAATGCTGGAAATGCATTGTAAATTAGGAGGGCATATAATATACACATTGTTACATTGTATGATAACCGGGGGACTCAGGAATTCATTTTTTTGGGGCCGGTCCACACTGGAAGGGTTAAATACATCTTCTGTCTAGTTGTAGAAGAATAAGCAGCTATACTTCCTCGCTATAACTTGTTTGTGCACGCTTCCTCCATATTGTACCATCGGTTGCATTGCATTGCATGAGAGGACAGAGAGGGCCCATCCACATCTTAGAGCACGCCGGCGGCCAGAGGATCAGATACTCCGCCACCATGTACAATGCAGGGCCAGCAGTCTTACATTGCATGAGAGGACGGCGTGGGCCCGCCCACATCTTATAGTGCACCGGCTGCCAGAGGAGCAGATACTCCGCCATCATGTACAATGCAGGGCCAGCAGTCTTACATTGCATGAGAGGGTGGCGAGGGCCCGCCCACATCTTATAGTGCACCTGCTGCCGGAGGAGCAGGAACTCCACCGTCATCATGTACAATGCAGGGCCAGCAGTCTTACATTGCATGAGGGGACAGTGAGGGCCCATCCACATCTTACAGCGCACCGGCTGCCAGAAGAGCAAGTGCTCCGCCATCATCATGTACAATCCAGGGCAACCAGTATGAGATTGAATGAGAGGAAGGCCCGTCCACATCTTAGAGTGCACCGCCTGCCAGAGGAGCAAGGTATAAAGTGAGAGTAGCTGCTTTTTTCAACTGCAATGCTGCAATGACCCTTGCAGTGCCCCCCCTCCCTCCACACACTTCATTTTGCAGTGCTTGGGGGGCACTGCAAGGTCATTGTAATTGGCCTCTCCTCCTAGCCAATCACAAAGCAAATTACCCCAGGCTTTATTTTGTGATTGGCCAGGAGCAGACTAAGCCGGAGATGCTGCTGCAGCACTGAGGTCTATGAGATCTGCATTGCTACAGACGGAGCGGGCACGGAGGTTCGGTAGTTCAGCGGGAGCTTTGCATGCAGTTCTGACTATGACAGGTGGCTTTACAGCAAAGGCACTGTGCAACTTACTGAACTCCAGTAAGATTATTGTGCCCGGAGATGGCCTTTAAATTCAGAGGGCAAAATCACAACTCCTGCCCTGTGCTGCATTGCCGAGATGTGTAAATCTCAGGACTGGATAGACAAAAATAAACGATTTGCCTGAAGCTCAGTATTAAATTCCCGTCATCACAGCCGAGTAATGCACCCAGACAGCAGTAGCGACAATCTCTCACGATATCATGTAAATATAATTACCGTGGCTGCCAAAGAGAACGGCAATAACGGTAATTGTTTAATAAAAATTGCGCATATCTTCAGCCTCACTTAACACGCCAGATAAGAGACATGCGCAGGATCTAGAGCCCGTGACCTGGGTGGGGGGAGATTGTGACAGCTCCCAAGAGGAATTATTGGAATCTGCCCAAGTGCTCTCTGCAAAACGCTGCATATATTACAGGAAGCAATTTGTAGGGAGAGAATGGTCCAGACACCGTGCTCGGCTAAATGCATTGCTGCACTGAATGGTATTTGGAGAGGGGACGCTCCCGGCCCGCTTGGCCTAGCTTCCCTACTTCAGTGTGAATAGCGGTTTGCCTCTTTGGCTTCTGGAGCCAGTAGGCCTGAAATGTTATCTCGCTCCCGGAGAATGGCGAGCCATTAAAATATGGAAATAAAATGCATTTCTTTGTGTGATTGTTGAGGTGTACAAAGGAGAGAGCGACGCATCGAGCCGACAAGGCCACCAATTCTAGGGGTTTTTTTTTCTTCTCTTGTCGCTCAAAAGCTTGAATGAATTTAATGTTAAATGTTAAAGTGAAGACATTACTCTCCAAAATGGATTAAAAGCAGGATGTGAGGATATATGATTTACTACCAGTCCATGTAAATGTAAACATGAATTAAAGGGAATATCCAATAATCGGTAATATTACAGCTACTATACACCTCTCAATGTAGACTCTGGTCCTGCTGTTGTTTATATTGCAATTCCTATATTATTATAATAGTTATAGATAACAGTACTGATGGGGTGGTCATAATAATCTGGTCACTCAGTGTATAATAATTATAGATTTTTCTATGTAGACTTCTATGGAGACTCTGGTCCTGCTGCTATTTACAGTTTATAGATCACCACCTTAGTGTCTAAGGTGCCACCCACTTAGGGTTGCCACCTTTTCTTTCACCAAAACCCGAACACTCTAGCGACGCACGGATATTTTTTTGGGAGAATGAGTCGTTGGCTTATTCATATGTAAATATCACAGTTAATACTATTTTTAGCGCAGAGCCAATAGCCCCTATCTTAATTTTGATTGCCCCTGTCTGCCTGACATCTTGTGTTCGGGTTTCTGCTGCCGTGAAACCTGTACACAGCATTCAAAACCCGAACTGTCCGGGTGAATCCTGGACAGGTGGCAACCCTACACCCACTACAGGCTGCCTGCAAAAATAATGCAGGAGGGCCTAGACAGGACCAGTCACCCTGCACATGGAGAGAGAGAGCAGCACTGAGTTGTCTTTATTACAGGAAGCTCCAAGTATCACACTGGATTACGGTACAGATCTGGAAGAAACACAAAGTTCCCCAAGAAGAATACACAGGACTCTGGTATTTAGGCAATATTGGCTTATCCGGGACTTCAGCTTTAACCCTTTCGCTGCCAAGGACGTATGGCATACGGACCTACAAAAGTGCTTCCAGCTGGCCAGGTCAGTATGCCATACGGACCTGGCATTTACAGTTCTACTATAAGCTGATATAATGCCTTTTTTTTCTTTATTGTCAAAAATCTTTTGTTGCATGCAATTTCTCCATTGTACCAAACCCTACTTTTTAAAAAAAAAGATATACTTAAAGGAGGACGGGGCCTTTTTCCATCTGCAGTTTTTTGCTGATTAAGCTTTGTGCAGGAGACAGTCTGGGACTCTCGCTGCCTCTTAAGGAGCTGCAAAGATTGATTTTGCTGTGCATCTTCCCTCTTATGCAGCTTTTTTAATGCAATAGGAGAACACAGCTTAGCTAGCAATGCAAGTCAACGCAGCTTTACGTGAGGTGAATAAAAAAGAGGGGACTGGAAAACTACTGCCGGACCATCCTCAGGTCTCGTGGATAGAAATCACTGCTAAAAGTGGGTGGAATATAGTTCATGCCGGGCATGTTACATCTATGGAGCACTTTGTGTTCATGATTTCAACCCCAGAATTCAGCAGGAATTAGTGATTTCTACAAAACTTAGGTTGATTTTTTGAGATGTAAAGAAATTTGATTAAAAAAAACAATGAAATAGGAAAGAAATCACACACATGTCCAGAGCAAAGGGTTGGGTGCAGTCCAGTCGCTAGATTTTGACAGCACCTAGAGCATGATTGGGGAACCTCTGGCCCCCCAGCTGTGGTGAAACTACAAATCCCATGAGGCATTGCAAGGCTGTGACAGGCATAGGCATGACTCCCAGAGACAGATTAATCATGGGATTTGTAGTTTCACCACAGCTGGAGGGCCAGAGGTTCCCCACCCCTGCCCTAGGGCATTGGAAAGCAAACTCTGGCCCTCCAGCTGTGGCAAAACTACAAATCCCATGATGCATCTGTTTCTGAGAGTCATGTCTATGGCTGTCAGAGCCTTGTAATGCCTCATGGGATTTGTAGTTGCTCCACAGCCAGAGGGCCAGAGTGGTCTAAAGCAGGGGTGGACAAACTCCAGCCCTCCAGCTGTGGCTGTGGGAATCTTGCAATGACTCATGGGATTGTGGTTGCACCAGAGCTGGAGGGCTAGAGTTTGCCTCCCCAAGCTCTAAATGATCTCTGTAGCACTGAGATCCTGTAGAATTAAATCCCTATCGAACTTTAGGTTTAAATCAGCTAAATAGATTTCAGGTACATCAGACGTGCAAAATCTTCTAGAATATTTTCTTTAAAATGCAACCACAGCTTGAGTAGACAAGTCTACCCATGCCGTCATGCTGCAGCGGAGGACCTTTGCTCTCTGTAGGGATGCAGTGGTCTCTATGCAGAGACCCAACACACCCACGGCTGAGTCAGACCTATAGCTCTGCAAACAGTAAAATGTTTGCTCCTTGAAAGATTGATTG